CTGTCCCAAAAATAAATAAAAACGTTGAAAAAAAAAATTAAAAAAAAAAAAAAAGCAACCACTGAATAAAAAAACACCACTAAATTCAAGGTAATGATTGAATTACCTTGTGTAATTGAATTATGTTGGGTAGGGACTAGATCAAGAAGAGGTAGTTCAATCTGTAATGTTTTATCTCAAATATTAAAATTATACATAAAGTATGGAAAATGTTGTCAAAAGAATCAAGTGCTAAATGCATAGGTGTTCAATACATTTTGTCTGTATTCTTCTGCAGATTTGAACACTTGTTTGTCCTTAATGTGAACAATCTGACACTTCAACATTTATGCTTTTATTCGCAAAACCTAAAATGCAAAAAAAAAAAAACCTGAAAAGGTGTATATTTAGGAGAATAAAGAACTGTAAAATTAAGATTTTTTTGATGGGGCGCCTGGGTGGCTCAAACGGCCAACTTCAGCTCAGGTCATGATCTTGCGGTTCATGGGTTTGAGCCCTGCATCGGGCTCTGTGCTGACAGCTCAAAAGCCTGGAGCCTTTGGTTTCTGTGTCTCCCTCTCTCTGCCCCTCCCCCACTTGCGTGTGTGTGCTCTCTCAAAAATAAACATTTAAGAAAATTTTTTTCTAATTAACTGATACACAGATTCCAATACTGTGGCTTAAAATCAAGATTTTCTAGAAACATTTAACTACAATAGTATACAATGTATACTCAATTTCACTAAACAATACTCAGGATTCATGAGATCAAGACCCCAGAGTTGGGCTTTGCACTGAAAGCACAGAGCCTGCTTGGGATTTTCTCTTCCTCTCTGCCCATCCCGTTCTCTCCCTCCCTCAAAATAAATAAGCTTTAAAAAACCCAAACCAAAACACTCAATACTATACCCTCTTTTCCTGAATGAACATGTTTCCAGATTTATGTTCTATTTAAAATATTAAATCAGTGAGGAAACTTTAAAGTCCTATGCTACTCATGAGAATATCCTTTCTTCCTTTCATAGGCTTTACGTGTTACAATTACCTCCACGTTTCACAGCAACGTTTAAAGTTGTACACATAAAAAAAAAGTTTTAAGCAGAGCCTATAATTATAAATACATATCTATGTTTTTTTTAATGTTCATTTATTTTTGCAAGAGAGAGAGAGGGGATGTGAATAGGGAATGAGAGAGAGAAGAGAATCCCAAAGATTCCACGCTGTCAGTGCAGCACCCAATGCAGTGCTCGAACTCAAACTGTGAGATCATGACCTGAGCTGAAATCGAGTTAGACGCTTAACCAAATGAGCCACCCAGGTACCCCTACATATCTATGTTCAATTACATAGATATTATTATAGTAATAATAATATTACTGGGATATTAAATAGTTCAAACAAAATACAAGGCTAATAATAATAAATCCAGTCTCCTTTCATTTGGCTTTGGGATGCATTATATATTTCCATTCTCCATTCTTTTGTTTTACCAGGCTGACACTTAAAAAATAATTTTAGATCATTAAAGATACTTCCCTGTGGCAAAAAAAAAGGCAGTAGGGTAAGATTTATTGTGGATAAAGTTTACTACTGGCAAATCTGGCAGTCCTAAAACTCTGGTAGTGTTACATTTTCTCCTATATAAGCAGTTTACCAATTACACAGTATTTCTGCTTTTGTTTGAACTTCACAATAACCCTGGTGAGGTGGGCAGAGCGGAATTACAGTCTCCACTTTATAAAGGCTACTGAGGCTTAGAAAGTAACTTGTCCCTCTAGAAACTATATGGTGATCCAAATAGAACTACAGGAACAAATTCAGTTTATTGTAATTTGATTAGACTAACCTTAAATCTTAAACTGCCTCAAAGAAGCATCAGTTAATATATTCCTAACGTAACTAATAGAATGATTTGTTACCCTTCCTGGTTAAGTCAAACTATTCTTAGCGACTTTCAAATGCTAAATTCCATTTCTATCGGTTAAATATAACATTAGATATACATATGAATCCATTCCTTTGAAACCCATTTCCAAATAAATATTAATATCAAAACCAAGTTTTTCTAGCTCAGTTACAGAAAAAAATTCTCTTCCTAAATCTTCAAGGTAAGGCCTCTATATTAACAAGCAGCTAAGTCTTAAGAACACTTCCCTGTTAGCCAGCAGTTCGCTGTAAAAGACTGCAGCATATAGTGGTACTACTAGTGATGACCATGACTGGGGTTAATTTAATGTACCAAATTTTAAATATTCTAGAATGTCAAAATTACCACTTCACGGACTTGGTGCTTTGGAAGGAAGCATGGATCACAGTGTACTCTTAAGAGACTGAAGAATCTGCCACTCCCTGGGTGGGAAGAACCTTGGTTGCTAGTCATGCCTGATCAGAGGTATTGTGAACTCCCCCAGCTCGGCAACTGGAGCAACCCAGTTCCTACGTGCATTTCAGGACTTCTCTTTCTTCTTCCAACTCAAACTTCTCTTCTCCAACCACAGAAAACTACTTGAAACGTGGCAAGTACTTACTATCAGCTGTTTCGACCACCACCCAATAATTCTGAGAAAAAGTTCAGAGAAACTTTGTTCAATTACGATTCATTAACCATGGTGTTGGGTTTTTTATACACTTTAGGCACATCTGTTGCTCAGAGTGCTTTGGTAACACAATCCTATTTTAGGAAGAAAAGACAGAAGGAGATCATCTAGCTTCTAAATAACCTCAATGTTGCTCACTCACATGTAACAATTATTTTTATTTACTATATTCTTATTTCTTGGAGAGGAGTGAATTGTTGTATTAATATAGCACATTTAAAGTTTCCTCCTACTCCAATTGTTTATTCTCCTAAAGTAGGAGTTTTGCATTAATTCTCAGTTACTTTATAACAAAACAAATCTATGCAACATGTATAACTCCAAAGTTACCTGACACCAACATACCTACTTTTTAAAAGTGGCCAAAAATATGCTGGGTAATACAAATAGCACCCTAACTGGACTCCTTTAAAAAGTGAAAATTGTAACATCACAAATTACCCTGAAGTTTTTAAATAACCGGGCAAAAGTAGACTATATGTTACTGTTTTTCCCAACAATATCTAGTACCTTTTGTTAAAATCTCACAAGGTAATCTAAAATTAGTAGGAAATCTTTAGCAGACACAAAAGATGAGAGATGAAACTGCAGCGAGAGAGCATGGCAAATCCAAAAGGTCTAGTAGTGCATAAATCTACTGGAAAAAAAACAACAACAACAAAAGAGATAGAGAGAATTAACAAGATACAATAATAAAAGTTATGTCTTTAAAGCAGATTATAACAGGGTGGGAAATGTTTAATATGTGTCCTCCTGAAAAGCAGTTACTATCTTTTAAATTAAAAAAAAAAAAAAAACAGCTGGTATATTTTCACAGCATCTAGATTTATTTATGGTATAAAGCCATAGAATTGTAATATTATTACTCCTTTCCCACCCTGGCAGAGAATAAACATGAATTCAGAAGCACAGTGGAGTGAAAACAAAGAAGAGGAGAGAGAAAAGGCAGCAGAGAAAGACAGAAAAGGTGAATACAGAGCTACAGAAGTGTTTATTGAGCATGCTACAGAGGTAAGCAGAGTACACACAAAAGGAAATTAAACAACCATCAAACCTCCCAACTTTGTTAGAAAATTAATTTTTAATTGTGCCGCTTTCAAACTATACTGAATTTTACATTTCTAAAGATGTAAAAACTCAACTAATAGAAAATATACATGACCATTCTGTCTACATAGATAACAGAATCTATGAATCTTGAAACTAAGTACATCAATTTCAAAAAGTATTGGTCATTTAAACAGAATCAACAATTCAGATTGACAAGAACTGTTCAAATTAATTTGACCTGTAGATTCTGAGCCATGTTTTTATTAAAGTCAGATCTATTCCTAAATACAAAATATTTTGAAGATTTATTAAAACTGAATATTACAATGCAAGGTAAATTAAGACTAAAGGCACATAAACTTTGGTCCCACCTGGTTGTCAGTTTTAGAAAACTGCCACAAAATTAATCTTCCTGCAAATTTTCGCAGTACACTTTCTTTATCTTTGAAAAATACATGCACCAGTTCCTGAACTAGCTAGACCAGTCTGCACATGCTCAGAAATCCACAACCATATTCCAAATCTTAATTACAAACTAAGGATGGCAATATATATTTAAATGCACGTAAGTCATGTCAACTTCAAAAACATCTACGAAAAATATTCAGCCACAAACAAGACATTACTTAGTGCTGACATTTATATGATACGTCCCACAAGAGTGTGTACAAAAAGGTTAAGATTCCACAATGCTTTCCACATAGGGCTCAAACTTACAGAAATCACTTTGTTGTCTTAAGAAATTAATACTCTGCATCTTGTTAATTTTAACTAATGCCTACATTCATAACTGAATCTAGACCAGAATTGTGAGATACAAAAGGCCAATGTTTTTTTAAAGCAATAAAGCCTAAGGTAGTAAAAACTAAAAAATGCTGCTTTAATTCTCTCAGTATCATGTATCTTATTTGAGTAAATAGAAAGAAATGTGACAAGCCAATAATTCAAAATAAGTTCCAAGCAGGAGAAACAAAAACTTAACCTTTTTACACACCCCTGCCTAAACATATGGTAATTCCCATATAACAATGTGCCCTAGACAACCAATTCCTTTTTCCTAGTAAATGCACAATAGCAACACTAGTTTTCCTTTTTAAGGCACGTATGTCAACTAAGTTGAAAAAGGAAAGTATAATTAAACTAAAAATTTAAACAGACAAAAATAATGGCTTCCCTATAGAACAGATGAAATATAGCAGTTAACACTCTGCCTTTATGTATGCCATTTCATTTTATAACCAAGGAATGATAACAGCATGAAAAAAAAAAAGGAAACAAAAAAAAAAATCAAACTCTGGTCCCCACTTTTCTGAACAGTCAATAGGTGATGACACCAAACAATGTGATACACCCTCCATCTTCACCTCCCCCTTTTTAAATTGTTGACTTGGAGAAAGACACTCTCAGATGATGGTTTTCACCAAGGTTATAATTATGAAGATCAATCAAGGCCTGGATAGCTTCTTCCACTGTTGCCATCTGAAGAAGAGCCATTTTGTGATCTCTTCTGAAACAAAATTATAAAATTAGATACTTCATAAAAATTAGGAAGGGCTTAAATACTTGAATTTTTGCCCACTACAGAATCAAAAATTTCCATAAACAAAAAGAATAAAAACTACTTGAAGAAAATTTTTAACTTCTATCAAGTCACTAATTTAAAGATAAGAAAGCTTGCTTACTGAAAAAACTTAAATGCTTTCACAGTGCCCCCAGTGTTAGCAAACAGTGTTCGTAGATCCTCTTCTGCTACTGAAGGACTAGGAAAATTGGATGGAAAAAAGTAAAGATTAATAATAATTTTCAAATTTTATTTCTAAAATCTATACCCATTAAAAATCTCCAGCTGTAATACTTACGGGATATTGGATAGGTGTAGGGTTGCAGAAGGAGGAAAAATGTTCTGAAAATTTTTGGATCCAGGTTTCTTAAAACGATGCAATGGGGAATTACCAAAATCCTTTGTTAGCCCTTGATCATCAAGTCCCTCTCGAGGTAGTTGTACAGTCTGATGTTTAGACAGAGTAACACGAATAATTTTGCCATACATTTTCTGTCCATTAAGATGGTTCATGGCTATAAAAAGAAAAAAAAATGCCTATTAAAAAACAATATTAACAAAGTTCAAAACAAAAAGAATTCTTCTTTTGGAATAGCTGAAATAACTGAATTCCATGATTTTTAAATAAATCTTTTTTTTTTTTTTTTTTTTTTTTTTTTTTTGGTTAAGCTTATTTATGTTGAGAGAGAACATGAAAGGGTGAGGGGCAAAGAGAGGCTGGCTCCATGCTGACAGTGAGGGGCTGGGACTCACAAACCATGAGATCACAACCTGAATCAAAACCAAGACTTGGACACTTAACCTACTGAGCCACCTAGGCGCCCCATGATTTTTAAATAAATCTTGAGTTTTCAACAGTCACTGGTGACAAGATGATTTAAATTTATTTGCCCTAGACCATTTTGGCAAAAAAGCCAGCCTCTTTCACAGAATGCAAATCCTCATTATGAATCTTCTCTTCCTTGTCAATCCTGATAAATCATATACTTAGATGCCACAGAAAGAAACTTAGTACTCATCTGTAACAACTTCTCTCTCCTGCCCCATAACCTAACTGCCAAGTCCCACGATAATCTTTTCTTCCTAATTATCTCTCAATTCTCTACTTTTCACGGTCACAATTTTTTGATCTGCTAACTCTGTCTCCCAATTTGTCTTCCTGTTGGGATTTTTCCCTACTTTTTTCAAATGCATCCTATTACACAGAGCAGCTGGATGACCTCTATAAATTGCAAATCTCTTGTTATTACCTGCTTAAAATCCTTAGGGTCAGACTAGGAAAGGTATAAAGCCATGTTGAAGAAATGAATTTGGACTATATCCTGATCTCCCCAGCGTCTCTGAACATATTTATTGATGATATACAAAACCAATTACTTTGTTAGTGCTGAGAATCAAGTGGTAAGACAAGAACCATCTCACCCCTCATGGAACTTACAGTATTTTAGTACTGTACTCTTTGAACTTTACCCTCCAGCTATACAAAACTCTATCTTCCTTGAAGCGCCAATTTTTCTTACCTTTTAGCCCTGTGTGCATGCTGTTCTAGCTACAATAATTTTTCATCTGGTCATTATCCCTCCTAGTCTTTCTCACTGTTCTTCTCTGGAAAGGTTCATATTCCCCATGCAGCACTCTTTTCTTCTTCTTAAATTCATCACAATTTATTTTAATTATCTAACTACTCCTCCTTCCGACTGCAAAGGACATGAAGGTAGGAACCCCGGTCTCTATCCCAGCACAGTGCCTAACACAGAACATTATTACATGCCTACTTTCTGTGGTAGCACTTGGGTTATTTTTAAACTAAGCGAACTGGTCTGAGGTTACAGATAAGTTACATGTTTTATGTTTTACTCACTAGCCACAACAACTTACGACCATTTTATAAGTCACATACTTTAAACTGAAGGTCTGATTTGACTATTCCAAGTTTGTGTATTAACAGCAGAGAGATAAAGGCAAGGTGGAAGAAAAGGGAAATGAGGACAAAATCCTACTCACAACAGTACGTACACAGTCTGACACCAGAGATATGCCCAATTTATTAAATTCAAGCATCTTTTCCTACTTACTCACATAGAATATAAACCAGTTAAACCAGTTAAATATAAAACAGTTCTGAAAAGGAAAATGCTGTAGAAGTGTTAAGGTACCATTCAGAAAAGATTCAAAAGTAAATTCTTATTTCACTTACAGCTTCCCTAATTTGTAAAAACAAGTTTACTCTTCCCAATTATTTTACTATGGTGTTATGTATTTGTAATTTTCTTTAGATTTGCAACTGAGGCTAACAGGAAAAAAAAAAAAATCTCAGGCCTGAATTCTTTCTCACTTGTTTTACTGCATTTCACATATACTTCTAAATTTTCACTTACAAAATCAACTGCATTATTCAGAGATGGTACATAAACTCCTTTTATAAAACTTATTTGATTTAGAAAATATTTTCAAAGTTCTAGAATTCTATTGTTTTAAGTGAACAGTACTTTGCTTATGAAAAAGTGCTGCTACATCATATAAGGCATGGGTTATAAGGAATGAATCTGGGAATGAAGTGGTATAAAGAAGTAGACTAAGGTTGTTATAAGAAAGCTATCTTTGTTCATCTTCGAAAAGTCATGAAAAGACGGCATAAACAGCTGAGCTTTGAGATACTGAAAAGCAGATATAAGAAAACAATAAAAAGTCCTAGGAATAGCACCTGCATCAAGAGGAGATGGATAATAGACTAATGGGATTAAAATAAAGCAAAATAACCAAAAAGCTATCTCTAGAAGTAGTCAGGTAATGAGAAGTATGTCGAGTCAGCTGACCTGACAAAAGAATATGAAGTGGATGAGGGCCGAAATTGAGGGGTAGAATATCAGGGTTTTTAAGTATTCAAAAAAAAAAAAAGAAAAGAAAACCTTGTCAAATACTAAGGCATACATAATGATTAAGCAAAAAGCAGAAGAGTACTTGAATTACTAATTTAAGATGAATCAAGCTTAAATATTGGGACTCTGATATCTTGAAGCCTGTTACAAGAAATATGGCACAAATGGACAAAACAATCAATGAACGATAAAAGAGAAAAAAGCCAATGTCGCACAGTGGAAATGGCACTTTGGGTTGAGTATAATTTTCTACTTTTCTCTTAATCTCTGAAGAAGATATTAATGAACAATGAGAAGTTAAGATGGTTAAAAAAAAGTTTTATATATATATAGAGCGCGCGCGCGCGCCACAGGACAAGTTTATATGTGGAAATAGAGCTATGTCAACAATTATACCCTTTATAATTCAAAAAACTTAGGTGTGTTGCCTCTCTCGTTATTCCAAAAAATGAATCTTAACATCTATTTGTCTATTTTATTAATCTATTCAAAAACCCAGCTTCTAGCTTTTCTTTCTTTCTCTCAACTGTCTTCTATACCAGTGATTTCTAGTCTGGTCTTTATCTTCTTCTTTCCTTGGGTTTACACCATCATTCTTAAAGTTAACCTCCTGTCACAACACTGCTTTCACTGTACTACACATACCTAATTTTAGTATAGTAGTTTCAATATTTTAGTTTTAAGTATTCTAAATTCTTATTAAAGTAACTTCTTTGATCCATGAAATACTGGGAAATATAAGTGTATCTTTTTGTTATTAGCTCTAACTTGACTGTGCAACAGTGAATATGGTCTACATGATACTTCCTCTTTGCCTTATGGAGGGCTGCTTTAGTAAATGTTCCCTATGTACTTAAAAAGAATGTGTTACATGTATAATTCTATACATGCGTCATTTGTGTTGTACCATTTGTATCCTTGTTGATCATCATTTTGTATGCCTGAAATAATTCAGAAAGGTGTGTTGACAATTCTTCCTCCAGTTCTATTCATTTATGATTTACATATTTTGAGGATATTTCATTAGGGGCACACCCACATAAAACTGTTTTGTTTTCCTGGTGATCTAAATTAATCTAAATTTTCTATATCCCTTTACTTTCAATCTTTCCAATTCTTGTGCTTTATATGCTTCTTGTAAAGAACTTTTTAAAAATCAGATCTGACGACCTGTCTTTCGACTGATGCATTTACTACTTTACATTTGCTGTTGTTGTTATTATTGATGTATAGGGACTTAGATTCTATCATAATTTTAAAATTTACATTTTCCCCCATTATACTCCATACCATTTGCTATTTCCCTCCATTGGATGGGGGGAATCTCTTGAAATCTCAGCAATACCTCTAAGTGTGACTTAGAGTTCTTCACTATGCATGACAGTTCCTCTGTGAAAGCCAATATAGACATACACTTAAAAATTGCTCAAATATCATTAACACTAGAGTTACAGGATTTCCACGCACTTTACAGTACACTTTGACAGATGTAATATAGTGGCTAAAGGTCTGTTATAAAGAACTAAATAAGTTTACTTTTGAGATGGCAGTTGTATAAAAATACTCTTTGGTATTTTGTTAAAATTCTGTTAAAGTTCATTTAGGATAACACGTTACTCTTAAAACAACAATTTAAGAAAACGCTAAATTAAATAAGCCATGGTAGAAAGATTATTAAAGAAACACCTTAAAGTTTGCAAATTTTAAAACTCTGGTCTAAAATGATTTAGCATGGCCTCTGAGATTTGCAGCAATCTCGTTCACATTTAAACACTACTATCTCTTAATGTTCTTTATTTCCCCCATACTACTTCCTAAACATAAAAATATCTGCCTAGGGGCGCCTGGGTGGCTCAGTCAGTTGGGTGCCCGACTTCGGCTCAGGTCATGACCTTGCGGTCCCTGAGTTCGAGCCCCGCATCGGGCTCTGGGCTGACAGCTCAGAGTCTGGAGCCTGTTTCAGATTCTGTGTCTCCCTCTCTCTCTGACCCTCCCCTGCTCATGCTCTGTCTCAAAAATAAATAAATGTTAAAAAAAAATTTAAAAAAAATATACCTGCCTATACCATAAAACAATGAGTGTTTCCAAATAGAGTCCTATGAAAACCAAAGGGAGAACAGGGCCCCAAAACAAAGCATACTAAATTTTTTAAATTCTAATTTTTTTCAATAGCACACCTTAGTTTTCTGTGGGATTTGAGTATGTGGGTGTGTATTTTAAAGGCATTAATGGTGTGAATACATATTTTTCTGGTCATATACTTCAAAATCTACCCTAAAAGCAATGAGAAAAAATAAATTATTTGCTATTACATATGGTTTAAAAACTACAAATCATGCTATTAGACAGTCAAGGCTCTAGTAAAATATAAGTACTGTTACGCAATGAGCTGTATTCTCCAAAAATTCATATATTGAAGCTCTAAGGAGATAGTGAAGGTTAAATAAGGTCACAAGGATGAGGCCCTCATCCAGTAAGACCAGTGTCCTTAGAAGAAGAGGAAGAGAAACCCAGAGAGCTCAGAGGAAAGGCTATGTGAGGAGATGCAGAGAAGGTGGCCATTTGCAAGCCAGGAAGAAAGCCCTTATCAGAAACTCAATCTACTGGCACCTGAGAAAAAAAATTTCTGTTGTTTAAGCCACTCTGTGGTATTGTTTTAGCAGCACAAACTGATGTAAGTATAGTAAAAACTAAAATGCCACTTATTTAAAATAGTCATTTTATATATATATATAAAATATCCAGAAGAATTTGATTAAATTCTACCTGAGGTACTTCTTAACCATGATAACTGTAAATCCTTTACATGAGGGTAATGTCATCCACAGCTCACACAGTGATGAGAAAAAAATGAAACATTTGAGAAATATTTTTTTAAATGCTACTTACAATGTACATAAAAGCAATGCCCATGACTACCCTTACCAGAGTACAGAAGTATACACAGCAGAGGGAGAAAAAAAGATTTACGAGGACACCCAGAACCTGATTAGCACTTTTTTACAGATCTTTCATTAAAGACGGGTATCTCCATTTTAAAAAGCAGAGAGCCAGAGGTCTAGTTTTATACGTTGTCTGAGCTACCATGAAAGCTGGTAAGAAATAATAAAATTCAAATTTACTTCTATCTGATACCAAATGCCAAAAGGTCCATATGTCATGTTCAAGTTTATGACCTTCACTGGGCATAAGAGCAAAAATACACTAGTCATTACGTCGTAAGTGACAAATTTCGAAATTAACAACGTGAAAACAACCAACCTGAGGCACCGAATGTCAATAAACAGAATTACAAGCTAAAGATCATACTGATATTTACAGTCTTATCACACTGTGAATGTGTAGTTGTATTCCAGATTTGTGATCTGACTTTGTGTATGAAGGCAAATGATGTATTAATTTAATTAAAATACTTACCTAAGTTACGAATGTAAGTGTAATTTGACTACAGTACATTTTAAGATTCCAAAAGGGATTAACAATGGTGTATTGTATGTAGCACAAGGTTTTCATTTTGTAAAAACCTAGTACCCCTAAAATATGTTTTCCATGTGACTCTTTCTATTAAGTTTAGCAAAAATCTAGGAGAATTAAGATAACACCATATTAATCAGGACTCCATGGACTATATTTAGCATAGTAGTTAACTTCTATCACAGGGAGTAAGTAGGAATGAAAAACACTAGGGATCTTTAATACAAATGTATAATTCTTTTTTTTTTTAATTTTTTTTTCAACGTTTTTTTTTTATTTTTATTTTTGAGACAGAGAGAGACAGAGCATGAACGGGGGAGGGGCAGAGAGAGAGGGAGACACAGAATCGGAAACAGGCTCCAGGCTCCGAGCCAACAGCCCAGAGCCTGACGCGGGGCTCGAACTCACGGACCACAAGATCGTGACCTGGCTGAAGTCGGACGCTTAACTGACTGCGCCACCCAGGCGCCCCACAAATGTCATAATTCTTATGTGAAATTATTATTGCAATTCTGGAGCCTAAACCTTCTTCCACTGGATTGTACTTGAGGAATGGTAAGAGGACAGCAGAAAACCACAAACATATTCATCATGCATTAAAATACGAAAATTAACGTGCCATTTTGAGCCTTGGCTATCCAAAATAATAAATAAATGAATGAATGAATCAGTAAATAAAGGTTCTTACTGCCATAAAGGGGTTTGATTTTATTAACAGATTCAGATTTATAGACGTATGGGTAACTGTTTAACCTTACCAAGCTGTGATTGGTTTCCATCAGCCATCTGTATCAGAGCACTGTCTTTCTTATTGTACAAAATCTTCACACGCTGCACATCTCCATAAACACCTTTTTTGGAGCCACAGAGAGGTAATCCAAAAATGGAATTAATGTTACATGCAAGTCAGCTGAAGATTATCTTTCTGACATAATAATGAAACATTCAGACATCAACATGATCACTCATTCAAACTCATCATTCTCACAAATGAATAAAGAAGATCAAGATTTTGAACAGTGAATTTTGAAAAGAATAATTTTTGATAAACCCTCAAAGCTATGTGAATGATATTAAATTAAAGACCATGCAAAATAAATCAGCATGCATTAAAACAAATTTTGTGTCTATGGAGAGTTTTAAATAGCAAAGAAAAATAGCAAAAGATTTACTATTCAACTTTAAGCCAAAGTGCTAGCTACAAATAAGAATTAAGGTGAAACAAAAATCAAATCAATAATAAAAGTATAGTGCTAACAATAACATACCGAAGAGGGTAAACAGACTTTGGGGCGTAACCATCTTTAGAAGGAGAGAAGAGCAAGCAGCGTAAGACAAGAAGAGAGAAGAGTCGAGGAAGAGCGGAGATGAACAGATCATCCATAACGAAGGGTGGTTCCCGCAGAATGGTGAGGTGGTCATGGATCATGGTTCAAGGCGGTTAATTGGGGCAAGTTGGTCCGAGGAACATTTGTTCAAGCACAGAAGCATGAACATAGGGAATGGAGACAGGGAATGAAGACAAGGACAAGGAAAATAAAGGATAAGACAGGGAAGGGAATGGGCATTTGGGAAAAGACAAGGAAAGGGAAGGTGAACACACAAGGAAAAGGATGAAATGGGGAAGGGAAACAGCAATGCAGAAGAAAAAAATAAGGAATTGGGGAACAAAAAAAAAATAAAATATAGGTCAGTACATAGGAAATGCAGGAATTTGGTCAGAAAATGGTTGGTTTATGTACTGTACAAGAAAAACTGAGTAAAATGTAGTCATCCAAGACAAATATGGGTAAAGTACATCTATATCAAAGAGTAAATTACAGCATTTCATCTCAACATAGGGAAGGAAAGCATGCACAGGAATTTTAAACTTTGAACTTTAACTGCATAAGCATGGCTGGTTATGAAATGCAGGCAAAATTCTTAAAAGAAAAACAAAGGCACTCTGATTCAAACATTTTAGCATGCAGAACTGTGAATGACAATAGTATCAAATGATAAAATAAGCTTAATGTTCGTATTAACAGAGGCCAATTAAAAATGAAACAAATATTCAAATTAGACATTGTAAACTGATACACTGAGCTTCCCACATTTCATACCAGCTTTCATAGCAATCAAAATAAAATATACCAGACATAAAATGTACAACTAAAGAAAATAACTCAGCAATAAATTTTATTTAACAAGGGGGAGGGGGAATAAAGTTGGAAAATATTTTTAGAAGACAATGACTAATAACTGCAAAGAAAAAATTACTAAGAAAGACTGGAAGAGTGCCTCGTCAAGATCTTTGGAAGAACCTTCAAAGAAAAATGTATTAGAGTAGTTCACATAAAATAAGATTTAAAAAAATGCAATGACACATAAGCATGAAATGAACAAGCAAATAATTAGAAAAGGCAAAGAACAAAATTGTTTTACAGTTAAATCTGCAAATTAGATCACATTTGCCTTTGAGAACAACAGAAAGAAAAAGCCATACTACAGTACTTCACCATATTTTTCTTAGGAAAAATAGGTAGTTAGGTTAAAATAATAATATAATAATAATAAATATATATATATATAAAGAGATATGACTGCCTAGGGAAATATTACCTAAACAAATACATAGATTTTATTCAGAAATAGAAACGTACAGAAAATACTTTGACTAATGAATGTACATAAAAAGAAAGGCAAGTGCAAAATGAAATAAACATGAGAAACTTTCACAAATGAAATGGAGTTAAAGAATAAACATTACAAAATTATTTTACTAACCTCTTCATTTAAATTGCTAACCAACAGGACTGTATTGCCACCAGCTGAGACTCCAGGCATACCCACTCGGCCAGCAGCAGCTGCAGCAGCTGCTGCAGCAGCATTTGGAATAGCCAAAGGACTCAGAGCTCCTGGAACAGCTGCAACAGGAAGCCCTAATTTTAAAATAAAGCATATTTTACGAAACACACACAAGTCGTTTACAAAAACCAATTTAAGCACGATGGCTGCATGGCTTACGGCTGACCATTCCAAATGGTTCCTGAAAGTTAAGTTTTATAACATTTAGAAAAATGGTTTACTGATAATGCATCAGAGAAAATTAACTGGTTTCAACGAAATCATTAAATATTAGGGCTAAGGTACATACCTGTATGTTAAAAAATTAAATATACCATATTCCATCTCCTATGAAAAAGCAAACAAAGCATAAAGGATGTAATATTTCTAAATCAGAGATTTGAAAAATTCACTTCCACGGTTTATAGCAAGAAGCCACATCTAAAATAAATATCATCTTCAACAAAACAGTAACTCACACTTTTTTCTACAAGTGCTATCATCTTCATAAACTCATACTTGAAACCGGACAGCTACAGCTTATGAAACAAACCGTTAAGTCCTTCAGTTCTTGGAGACCTATCACCCTGAACATCATTATTTCATTCAAATGACTTAAAGAAAATCTTACAGAAGTTTGTTTGCCTTAATTCCATACTCAAGCAGTCATAATGAACACAACAAATTTCTCAAACACATTTCCCCAGTAGAAGGAATGAGAAAACGTCACCGTATCCACACAGGCTTTCTCCTTCAGTATTTTCCCACATTTTGCCTACCAGTTTTAACATTTCCTTCTCATTTCTATTGTTCTATTTTCCAGTCTTACTGTTGTTCTATCATCTTTAAGATATGCCAGTCTTCACTCTAGAGAGAATTCTCTTTTGTCTCAGCATCTTTTATCCACGTTCCAATTAAAAGAATGAACTCTAAATCCTTTCATCCCTGAAATTCTTACATACCAGCTGATTCCTCAATACATATTAGTTCACTAATGAAGTAAATTGTATGTTACTTTTATTCTTCCCATGAAAAAGGAAACATCCAACCTACATGAAGTTAATCCGTGACATACCTGGATCAAAATGGCCCTTTGTACTGTTGTCCCAAAAGTTCATGTTTTATTTCTCCTTTTCTCTTTCCATCAGCCTTCTTGTCTATGTCATAAGGATGTGCTGTTGCCTTTGGTTTCAGATCTCTCAATATTTTAGGCAAGTTTTTTTTTTTTTAAGTCTTTTTACGTTATAGAAACTATGATGGCCTTTCACTGACAGTCTAAAAGGTTAAGATTCACAATTCTTAATCTCTTCAGTTTCTGACTTCTAATTTTTCCCTCCAATTTCTTTGTATCTCTGCTAAGCACTCCAACAGTGGAAGGATATTTTTCTCAATCTTTCTGTGGATAAGCTTATTTTAGTGCTTTTTGCCCATTTTTTGAGATTTCCCCCTTTTTTATTTCTCCATCTTATTTTTTAGATTCTACTTTTTGTGATGGAAAATATCCAACACATAGAAAAAAGAGAGAGTCTACAATAACAAATCCCATATACCCATCACACTGGTTTACCAATTACCAACTTATGGCCAAACTTGTTCCATCCATTCACCCATTTTACTTTTAAAATAGAAACTTCTCATGTTCTTTGATTCCTTTTTGGATCCATCGGTGTGAATCTTTTTAACCAATTATTCTAAAGTGTTACAAACTTCCCCATGTCAAATACTATAGCCCTCTGATTACACTTCATAGGTTGTTTCCATTTAACATTCAATAGATATCTTAATTTGCTGCCAAAGGCAAGTATGAGGATACATTCCCAATTCTTAGATATGCACTGACAGTAATTTTGTTTTTGAATACTGTTAGAAAGTGACCCCTCATCCTTTCTTTAAATATAGTATTCCTTAAGTATTTTCAGATAGCTGTGGCTGAATGTACATACCATTCAACTAAAGTTGACAACACAATTATTTCACACTGGCAGAAACTCCAGATGCAGGCATTACACTGTCAAATTATTTCCTCATTTCCCTGACTTTAATTGGCTACTTTTCAGGGGAAAAAGTAACTTAAAATTCTGTTAAGATTCTTGGTCTTAATGGGATCCAGTCCATGGCCCAAAACAAATACTATCGAAAATACATGGTATGCAGAAGAGGTCAATATCAACCCTCAAATTCCCTTTTAGGAATAAAAGACTTTTTTTTTTTTTTAAATCCATCAAAGACATCTGAAAGCAGCTCCTTTCACAAAAAATTATATCACCTAAATTTCTGGTTTTTCAATTCTACCAGACAAGAAACAATTTTCAGGGCCCACTAAGCCAGAAAAATTTAACTGAAGAATTAGTTACCAACATTAATATAAAAATGACCTAATCCCTAGCATCTTCCCTGTACATCTCTACTCTTCACTGCCATCTTGTTCATTAAAATACTATTTATCTACTAGAATAGTCTTAAACTTTGTATCCCACAATGAAAATGTTCTTTTAGTCTCAGGACCCCTTTATACTCGTAAAATTTACTGAAGAATACAAACAGCTTTTAAATGAGTTGTATTTAACATATCAGAAATTAAAGCCAAGAACTGTTTTAAAAAGAACAAGTATACACGATCACATATTCTATTATCCTTTAAAGCAATGTATGCTAGTGAGAATAAGTCAAAAGACAACATTTTAGTAGTGTTATGGATATATAGTTTGGACTTTGTTAGAAACCCTAAGAGGCCTCCAGAGATCTCTAAACATTTTGTGAACCACTGCCATGTATTCTTGGTATGATGCTTTGTACATCTGTGGTTATCAATAAATAAGGAATTGGAAAAAAAAAAAAAAAAGAATTCACTTCCAAAAAAGAAAATGCTGTAACATATGATAGACGTGCGCGCACACACACACACACACACACACACACACACACACACAAAAGAATGAGACATGCAATAGATTACACAGTACTGACACTTCCAGGATTAAGTTTGAAGTCATCTATTACTCATCTTTCCTTGTTGACATTTGAAGCAATATTATTAATTCATGAAATATAAAATATCAATCTACCTAAATTCAATATATAAATCTAAACATGACAGTCTAAGCTTAATATTTCATTTTTTCAAAAAAGCTTCTTCTGAAATACACCTCTACAATGTCAATATACAATTCAATGATCTAATGAAAACTTCACCAATATACTCAAAGGTGATAGAAAATTTGTTCAAAGAAACTTCATTCAAGACATAATGGTTTTTGAAATACATTTCTTATTGAAATCTGGATGTTATAATGGAGTAACTTGGTGGCACATTATTTAAAACATGAAGACTTATCATGGAAAAATGATCACTGAGAATTAAAAGAGAACAGAAATTAATTTAAAATGGAAATTGAAAAAAAAAAGTCTAGTCTTTTTTTAGTGTGACAGATCTGAGAGACTTTTTAAATGCCAGGGAATGCCATCTTTTAACAAACAACATTACACTTTGGTGAAAATAAGACTGCTAATTTTCTAGTGAGAAAATGGGCTCAAAGGAGATGCAACTACCTCCTTCTAGTACGGAGGTAACAGGAAACAAAAAGTGGAATGTAAGCTGTTGAGATCTTCACTGCTGTTACTACTATCCAAATGATATGTCTCCCCACTTTTCTATTTATCACCAATCTGGGCCACTGTGCTATGGCAGGTGATAACGTTATTCTGCCAAATCATCTTTCTTCATTTTAGGTAGCCCAGGGTATGGCCTAAGAGTACTTTAAGAGATGAGGGCAGTCTGTCTTTAATGCCACTAGCAAGTAGTTCTCTTCCACTATATCCTCCCCCAGGCTGATACAAAAGCTTACTTAAGCCATCTTTACATAGTTCTAAAATCACTGGAATTAGTCTTGAGTTTTTACTGGACTTTTAAAGTCTCTAACGACAGATTCTACAATTAATTTCTCAGTACACTCTTCTCTGAAAAATTACTATCAGTCAGGAAAAAAAAATTTCGGTTTAACCTAAATATCTTCTACATTAAAAACAACCTACATTGGGGCGCCTGGGTGGCTCAGTCGGTTGAGCGGCTGACTTCGGCTCAGGTCATGATCTCACGGTCTGTGAGTTCGACCCCCACAATGGGCTCTGTGCTGACAGCTCAGAGCCTGGAGCCTGTTTCAGATTCTGTGTCTCCCTCTCTCTGACCCTCCCCCATTCATGCTCTGTCTTTCTCGGTCTCAAAAATAAATAAAAAAAATAAAACGTTAAAAAAAGTAAAAATAAAAATAAAATAAATAAAACCTACAAAATATTTCATGATGCACTATTTATTTACACAATAAATTCTGAAAAATAATTCTGTATATTTATATTAATGTTAACTCCTAGTTGTAAATCAACAAATTTACAATCTCCCCTTCATAAAAATTACATAAAACATGTTATATACATTGGCTCCAGCAAATTATTTCTAGTTGTAGAAATACTTTTAATTTTAATAATGTACATCTTTAGCTATGGCAGCAGGTATGCTGGAAAAAAATATTGACACATGTTCATGGTGAGACATAAAAATGCCTGTTCTACTTCTAGGATTGTTATAAGGATAAAATAATGTCAAAGAGCTTCATAAACTGCCACACAAAGGTGTAACAGGAATCCTTTTCATATAAAGTGATCTTCATCAGGTGGGTCACCCAGATATTTTGAGTTGACTCAGCAATTTTATAGATTTCTCATGTTAGTTCTGACACATTACTAACCCTTCCACCACTGAAATGGATGAACACACAGCCATGTATATGATACAGGTTCAAAGTCCAGTGGGATGAAGTGATATTACTTATTTATCTTAAGGTCACACAGACATCCTTAATCTTGCCCAGAAGAATTAAAAAACCTATTTTTTTATTTTTTATATTTAGTATGTATGTATGTATGTATGTATGTATTTATGAGAGAGACAGGGTGTGAGTGCGGTAGGGGCAGAGAGAGAGGGAGACACAGAATCTGAAGCAGGCTCCAGGCTCTGAGTTGTAAGCACAGAGCCTGATGTGGGGCTTGAACTCACGAACTGTGAGATCATGACCTGAGCTGAAGTCGGATGCTTACTGAC